CCTAATATTAAAACATAAATTACGACTCTAATGAAGTAAAATTTTATGAATAATTCATTTTTTTTACAAAAACATAATATCTGATATATTTATCAGCAACATGTCACAAGTTGCATGCACACAGTATGTCTATGTATGTTTGACAGGATATAGAAAACTTTTTTGTTATAATTTTACAAAAAAAAAATATTCTTCATAAAAATTTATGCATGGTCTAATAGAAAATGAAACCACCCGATATCAAATTTTATCAGATTGTCAAAAAGTATGATTTTGCTCAAGATAAAATACCTTTATTTTCGACAAACCCTCTATACGACTGATACGATTTGATATCAGATAATTGAATTTTAGGTTTTAGACCATGCACAACTTTTTATGTAATAGTAAAAAAATTCAATATGCTAAGTTAGCGGCAGATGGAAAACCTTTATTATTACTTTTAGGAAAAAAAAAAAAGTTCACAAAAAGTTGTTCATGATCTAATATCTAAAATGTTAACCATCTGATATAAAATTTAATAACTAGTATATGATGTTGGTAAAAAAATATGATTTTGCTCAAAAGTAAAGTTTTCTTTATATTTGATAAACCTCGTATACAACTGATAAAATTTGATATAAGATAATCATATTTTAGATTTTAGACCATGCAATTGTTTATGCAAAATATGATTTTTTCCTAAAATTCATAAAATAGTTTTCCGTATGCCGCCAACTTACGTACATATAAATGAAATTAAATTATTTAAAAATATTTTTTACTGATGTAAATTTAAATAAAGTATTGTGGGTAAATAAAGTATTGTGAGTAAATAAAGTTATAAAAACACTTTTTATTACATTTTTCTTTTTTTTATTTGGTTCTTTGACTGTATGACCTTTCGGTACATACAGGGTATTTCACTAAGAATAAGAGCAACTGAAGATTAACTGATTAGAAATAAGCCGAGTAAACGAAACATCCGTAGGTAAAACATTACTCGTTTCCGAAGTACAGGGTGTTAATGTTGAAAATCAAAATTATGAATATTTACAATTTTTTATTACTCTGTTTAATTTCACTAAATTCGGTAAACGTTATTGGTGTAATAAAAAACATCTATCAACAAAAAATCAGTAAAATAAGCTTTGCCAGTGGCGTACGGCATGAGCAAGTAACAAATTCTTCCCTTCTAACTTTTAGTCCACTGTCCAAAAACTTTTGATGTTTTTCAAATAAGGATTGAGTTAGTTTTTGAGCTATTCGCATAAAGTTGGAGTACATTATTTATTTAAAAAACAGAAAAAAGTTTAAAATTTTATGTATAAATAACTTTTTGGATAGTGACGTAAAATTTAGGAGGGATGCGGTATTACGTACCAATGCTGTACGCCATTGGAAAGCTTATTTCACTAATTTTTTGGTAATGGGTGAATATTATGACACCAAAACGTTTGCCAAATATTGTAAAATTGTACTGAGTAATAAAAAAAATATATCCATAAATAATTTTTGGATTTTAACACCGTAATTCGGAAACGAGAAACATTTTATCTAAGCATGCTTCGCTTAGTTGTGCTGTTGCTAGGTATACGCTAAAGTGTACACAAATCAAAACATTATATACACGCGAAACGTCATATTGCTGTGGTGGGAGGTGTTTGTGTGAATGCGTCTTGTTTGTTTTCATTTACGCCGTGACTAGCAGTAGTATTTTATAACCTTAGAATCAAATTTCACATACATGAACAAATAATAATAATGCCGTGACAAAAATAACACGAAGCAACGGACCATACCTAGCTACGCCGACCGGCGTAAACACCAACGGCCTGCACACAGCTCACCTACTCTGTCAAGACGTTTCGCGTGTATAAAACTTTTTAAATTGCGTACAAGTTAGCGTGTACCTAGACACTGTGTATTTTTATTCAGAGAATGGTCAAATGTTCTATGTCCCACTCTTGACGAAACACCAAGTGTAGTATAATAGGTAATAGGATAAGTAATGATACTAAGGCCTTTGTCTTTGTTGACTGGACACAACAATTAACTACTAAGTAAATATTATACCGATCCTAAAACTTTTATTTACTTGCTACATTAAAAATATTTGTTAAGGTCAAGAACTCGTTTGCCTATCATAGCGTAGTGGTCGGGGAGATGAATTTGTTATATTAGTTACCGTTTAGAATTAATAGAATTATTACGCCATCTGTTGAACAAAAGAACTATTAAATATGGAATATTGCTCCATCTGTTAAACAAAAGAATTCCTAAATATGACACATAAATGACATCTATTAAAATTAGTACATGTGACGAATATTGGAGTATGCTACTGTGGCCTTAAGTAACTTCTTATATAATTTTTTTTTCATTTAGATGATTTCATTGACTCTTTTGTGAATCCATGAGTGGTTTTATATATATATTTTTTTGAAAATAATTGATTTTGTTGAATGTTATGTGTCATAATATATTACCTGTTAATTCATATTTTTTAATAATTCCTACAGTAAAGTACAGTTTTTATTCAATCATTGCGACATCAAACTGAATTATATCAGTTTATATTTTTTTATATTCTGCGCCTTTGACAAACATATTAAATAATAAATAAAGAACTAAAATATTCGTTATTATGTTTTAAAATTTTGTTTTATAAACCGTTGGGCTTTTAAAAAATAGTTGCAAAAATAGTTCTTAATTGTTAAGGCAAGGATATTTAATTCATTTTATTGCCAAAACGTCAAATCGTTTAGACCGCAGGCGATATTTTAAGGCACCTTCACTGTCTTTCCAAATCCACTCTCCGCCTTCCATGAGCAAGCTGGTGGTGCAAGAAGACGGAATCCAGCCATAATGGGGGTCATGCATCACGTCCAGATGAAAGTTGTTCCTGGATCAGCAGGTTTGTCCGTCCGAGGCGGCAGCGGGGCTGCCTAGCCGCCTCCAGGCCCTCAAGTCCGCCCCCGGACTGTCTGTCCGCGTGAATTATAGCGGCCGCGCCTACCGATAACATGCTTTAATTAAAATGCTGTCTTGCCAGGATTGATGTCCGCCCGCCATATAACATTACCTC